CGACCACCACTGACCTCTTTTTCGTGGGAAGGAGCAAGGAAGAAGTGAAGAGGGCGGCAGAGGCGAGCCTGTTCGAACGGCTGGGGCAGCCAGAGGAGGTGGCCACCGTGGTGGGGTTCTTCTGCACCGACGCCGCTGGTGGATGCATTTGACGGATTGTGTGTTCGCTGATGCTGTTTGCCGTCTTGGGAAGAATAGGTGTTGCAGCTTACTACCGGCGCGGTTGACTTTTATGATTGTTGACCAGTAAAGTCCACCTTTTACACTTGTATGATTGACTATTTAAGGAGCCTTCATGTAGCCACGTGGTTGACTTGTTTCAGCGAACTCACATGGTTGACTGTTTAACGTCGTCGACTATTTAAAGCGACCTTTATATGAGTCATGTCATCACGACATGAGTAAGGGGGTTAATTATAATTAACTCAAATGAAATGGCTTTTATGCAAAAAACCCCGACTCTTTTCTCCACCCAACTTGAAACCCTAATTCTTGTCTCCCAAACTCATACCTTCTGTACGAAAACACCTGTTTTTGAAGTCTTTCTTACGCGCATCCGTCTTTTCTTCCGTTTCTACCGCAATGGGTCGATTTCTCGCATCTCAGCTAGCTCGGGACTGTAGATTTTGCGGAAGAAGCACCCGGTTTGGTGCCATAATTGGGAGGATCGATAGATCCTTGCTGGGTTGTGCCTTCGATCGTTAAAATCTTGGTAACCCTTTGGAAAGTTTTGAAGTTTGGTTAAAATTTTCTTTTTCTTAGATAAATAAAAGTCCGTTAAGAATTTTGTGATTTGAACTAAAGTAGAACTCATCTGGAGTTGTTCTCTCCATCCAGTAAGTTTGTCTTTTCCACCTTTTGCTGGAAAGGAAAAATTTTGCACCGTAGAGTTGATTGCTGAAGCAAGATTGCTTTTATTCTATTTGAAAATTAGGAATCATGAGTTACATGTATTGGACAGCACATTTTGATTTTACAATAATTGTTTAGAGAACTCCCAGTATAAAAAATTATTCGGACAACCCATATTGTGTTGGTGTGCAATTACTTAATTAGTGTTCTCATATGTCCGGTGCAGTTATTTAATTTGGACACTATTAATTAGTGCAATTATTTAATAGTGTGTGGATATGTAATTTCACAATCTGTCTCGAATAGGATCATGAGGTTGAATCAACTTATGTTATTTGCTTATCATAAGGATGGACATGGGTTTAAGTCTAATCAGTTTGCTCTTTCTATGGTTGTCTTGACTCTTAATCATTGTTCCAATACGAAATAAAAAACTAGCAGTTGAAGATTACTGTTCCTTTGGGACAGACACCTGATCATCAACAACAAGAAAAAAATTGCAAACATACACATTGTGGGTGCATATAGATGAATAATATATGGTGATGGGATGCACTTAAACTCTTGCTTTTTCCAGTTGCGGGAAGCAAGCAACTCTTTTCAATCGTAAGATATTTTTCTAAGCGATAACCCATTAAAGCATTCTGTTCAATATTATTAATCACCAATTTACTTGTGAAAATTGCTAGGAAATATAATATCCATCCAATGCCGTTGTCCAAGGCTTGCCAAAGTGGGGCCATCATGTGGAATTGCCTTTGTTTTTGTTTTCTCATTTTTGCTTGTTGGACATGGAACTCTAAAGGCATGAACATATCTTTCATGTTAGCAGGTGACTGCTAACAACTTGAGTTATGCAGTAGCCAAATGAAGCTGGACTGAAGTGTTATTTAGATTGATTTTATGCTAATTTAACATAAATTTGGTTACATGATCATTCTCGTAGTAAATTAAGTACCATAATCTTTTTATATTTCTCAAGTGATGCTGCACATTTGTATTACTATTATCAGGTTAGCAGTCTATATATTCTCTTTTATAATCACTTTTGACAATTTGTAGGTACTTGTCATCCATGATGAGAATTACACCGAACTTGTTGATCTTTTGTCAGGGTTGTGCTGGAGCAAAGAGCAATCAACAAATAAAACTTGCAGCATGGAAGGAATGTAATAAGTTTGAAGAGTTGTCCATTCTTAAAACATGACACATATGTTTTCACTTAATTTTTATATAGTTTTAGCCATTTGTGCAATGCCCATTGAGTAAAGTTTGACAGCATGCACTGTGGTTATTAAAAGCTCACTAGTATAATCCAGAAGCTTGGTTTCCCAGCTAACTTTAAGGTATCTAGTCATATAATCTAGGTTCTTGGTGCTTCCTATCCTCATGTCTCTTCCCTAAATTATTTCTTTTACTTGTCTACTTTTTCTGTCTAATTTGTATTTCAATGAATAGGATTTTAAGATCCAGAATATTCTTAGTTCATGTGAGGGCCCTGCCTCTTCTCATGGTGTTTTCTGCAGTGCAAGTTTATCGATCTTCTATGTGCTTGAGAACAATTTACTTATGTATCTCCACATGATGTCTTGTTTTTCCATTATTCCATTTTAATTCTTAAGCAAATTGTTTAGTGGTTAATATTCTATTATACTATTTCCATTTTGAGCCTAGAGAGCCACATTGGCTTATCAGTGACTCTATGCTCATGCTCAATTTCTTATGTTAGTCACAGAGATTATATTTCACTGGAGCAACTTTGTTATATATGCTTCAATCTAATGAAGCATCAAAGTTCTGGAAGTTTTTCTTGCTGAAATTATACATACCCATCTGGAACCTAAAAACAGCTGCTTTTGTGTACAAACCAGCGATTTTTCCTGGTTTGATATTGCGTATGAAAAAAATCAAAGATGGTACTTTTCATTTTTGCTTATGGAAAAATTGTTCTCACTGGGGCTAAGGTAATGTTCTTAAAGCAATTTCAAATACATGAGTCATGCATATCTCTCTTTTATTCATCATCTTCAATCCAATTCAGGTTCAAGATGAGGCACATGCTGCATTTGAGAATATACCAGTCCATGCAGAAATCAGAAAGAACCAGCAATGGTATGGTAGATTGTTGCATTGGAAAGGTTCCATTTAGTTTCTATATGCTCAATCAAAAAGCAAAGGGAAAAGACTTGTGATTTGATGCAACCTTGCCTTGTGACAATTTGTTGTTTTAATACATTGGAATGCACTGAGAAACTTCTCACTTGAAACTTTCCTAGCAGATGATTCATAGCTGCTGCCTGGAATGGAATTTTCAACTACAACATATGTAAATATTAAATGGCACATCATCCTTTATAGGTTGTATATGACCTACAGTTTTCTTGCTTTTGATCTACTGCTTGTGCAGCACTTAGAATGAAGTAAATTAGCCTTAAAATGCCTCTAATGTATTTCATCATTGTTGCATCATTATTGGTATTGGATTGTAGTCTTTAGAAAACTTGTTAAGATGATCTATTAAATTTTGCTTCCTTCTTGGTTGTTTTCTTGTATACAGATATCATAAGAAACTTGTAGCTGGCTAGGATTTTTTTTTTCAATTAATGTATAATCAAAATTTTATAAGACAAGTAATGCTTTATGAACCTAAGTATTAGACGATTAATAATACACATATAAATGATTTGCTTTAGAGGATGTTAAAGCATAAACAATTAAATGTAGCGTAGTCTAGAAGATAAAATGAGAAAAAATATTTAAAATAATATGAATATGTGATAAAAAAAATTATATTTATGGAAGTGAGATCTTAGAAGATTTTACTAAAAATTATAGATAAAGACTTGCATATTTTTACTTTAATTGAGAGTATTACTTCTTATGAGGTTCAATTGTGACAAAAGATCTCATGTAGATGATCTCAAATGATTAAAATATTATTCTAATTATTGATGGGAAAATATTGTTTAATTCTCTGTCTTCTTTATTTCTTCTTATCACTTTGCTAACTAATGAGGGTGCAGAAATTTTATTGTAACCATTGTGATCAATCTCAAAGATGCAAAATTTCCATGAAGAACATGTTTCTCAGGGACTCATGCACTCTATAATTTCATGGAGAAATATGAACCAAGTTTCCTGTGTGTTGAGCAACTTCCAATTGGTCAACATATACACATATGTTGCACTCTATTTAGGGTCATCTTCTTATACTGATCAAGATTTATCATCCTAATAGTCTAGTGAGAAGATATTTCATGCCACATGCACATATGTTACACTTTGTATGGGTCACACTCTTCATTCATGATCTATGTGGAATTTAATACTTGTCCTTAACATAAAAGTTGAGGAGAAAGAAATGTGGCTTTTCATGTCTAATGTTGAAGAGAGAGAAAAGAAGAAGAAGCATATTTACTAAAATGTAGAACTTTTTTAAACCTAGCTAACAAAATGGAAATTTAACAATCATCTATCCATTTATGTCCTTTTGCCCTATTGATCACAAGAACAGAAAAGAAATTTTTATTTTTTTTACTCCAAATATGTATATTATATTGATGTTGAGAATTTACCAAATATATATATATAATTAAAATTTAAAATAAAAATATATAAAAAAATTTAAAAAATATTTTTATTCATGAACAATTAATCGTGTCTCTAATGAAATCATTTAAGATAATACGAATCTATACCATATATAGATATCATAATTAGAAAAGGTAAGATAATTATTATTAGTGGCATAAGAAGTTATGAATAAAGATTTACCAAAAAAATATTGAATAATAAAAATAAAAAACTACTTATTTATGATAAATAGTTGAGATATTATGATTTGTTATTGTTGTGATAATTCAATTAGGAAATATGCAAAAATCATATAAATTGTTTTTATTGAAAGTATAAGTGGAAACTGATCATATACCTTTAAGTCTCATAAATTTCTATAAGTCAAAATAGGTCAAGACTAATATATAATAAAATTCATTTTAATCCTATCCATGACATTTAGAAATCAATAATTAAATCCCCCCCTTTCATAGATTAGGGGAGAAATAAGTCAAAATCATATTATCCCCAAAAGGGGCCACTTGTTTTGTATTATACCGACCTCCTCTCTGTGCATGCATGAATTGTGTACACACCATAAGATTTCGGACAGCGCAAAGAGAGAGAGAGAGAGAGAGAGAGATAGAGAGGAAGCCTCAGAGCGCACACAGCTCCTCGTCCTCCTTCGCAACAACAGCCCCCTTGTCTTCCCCCGATTCCCGAGGGAACCCTAGCTCTCCCAATCCCCTCCGTCGTACCCACCGAGCTGCGCCGCACCCGTGACGCAGGCCCCCCCGCCGCCGCCGGCCCCCCGGAGATTTCCGCGCGATCGGGTCACCCGTGACGAGCTTTCGATCGTGAAGGAGCCGATCTTTCTGGTTCCGGTCCCCGATCGTGTTTCCTCCGCCGCATTCTGGGTCGATCTTCCGGGTTCTTGAATTTTTTTATGTAACGGGTTTCGCCTTCCGATGATGGTTCTGGATCGTGTTATTGGAGTGGATGATCCGTCGTGTGTCGGCGGGAGTCGGGTTGCTTCGGAAAGGTTCCATTTTGATCGTGTTTTTATTTGGATGTGCCAACGGATTTGATTGAAGATAAGGTGGAAAGCGGATCGTTTTCTTTTTGCCGCTTCGTCGTTTCGTTTTATCGATGGATGCCTTTTATGAGAGCAAGATCAGCTTTTCGATTGGATATCGAACAGGGAAGATATAAGAGATGGATTTGGGTCCAAATAGATTGATTGCTTTTGATTGCGGCGATTACGGTTTTTGTTGTGGTCGATGATGTTTTAGGGAAAAGATTAATTTTTTCGCTACAAAATTCGTGAATCATATGATATAGATGCCTCTGTTCTTTTGTCGCGTTCGATTCCTCTCAGTAGGTGACTCTATAGCTGTTGTTGTGGAAATCTTTAGCAGAGCTCTGCTGTGTTTTTCATTGATTTGTTTAAAAGATATGAATGACATGATCATCCTATCGATAGCAAAGAGAGAAAATGTGTTCTCGCTACAAGCCTTTTATTCTTGTGATCTATTTTTGCTCGGGCCGGCATGATGCTATCTGATTCTGGAGAGCTGGGTTATATTAGCTTGGAATTGAGTTTTTCCTCTATTTCCCTTTGGTCGAGTTTTCTTTCTTTGCCTCTTGTTCCATTTTCTTTTTCATGTCTTTGTGACCAGACTTCTTGTTATCTTTCTGATTATTGTCTGTTCATATTTCGCATGCAATCTAATGTGTTCATGCCATTGCTCTTCAGATGAGAAGATTGAAGAGGGACTCTTAGTGACTTATTGTGGGTGTGAGTTGCATGGGAAGAGGATGCCAAAGCAGCGAAGTGGAGCACGGCAAGGTCATCTGAGATCAAAGAAACTTGATGATATTCCAGCCCCATCGCAGCCCATAGGACAAGCAGAAAATCCAGTATTGCCTGCGCCAAACAGAAGGCGTGGTGGTGCTGGGAGAGGAAGAGGCTCCAGGGCTGCAGCAACTGCTAAAAGGCCTTCAGTAGCACCAGCTAGACCAACGGTTGGCGGTAGAGGAAGAGGCATTGGGGTTATTGACTTAGACCCTGATCAGCCTTGCGAGATATTACCTAGAGCTGCTGCGGGAGGAGCTGTTGTTGTTGGTGCTGAAGGTTTCTTTTTGAACCAAGCAGCAGAGGGAATTGCTGACAAAGATCTGGCAATGGAAGGTGGAAGTGGTGACAAGGTGATGGTAGCTGAAGGTGAAGCTACTACAGCTCCGGTACCTGAACGGGTATGTCTATTCCTTCTGTTGGTGATGAAAATAAAGTTTGATGCATATTTGTGCTGACTGGCATGAAAGTTTGGCACCTTCTATTTCTCTTGTAATTGTTGCACTAGGGTTTTTTGAGATGTTGAAAATAATTCTACCTTCCATAACAATCAACTCTATTGAATTTGAGCTTTCCTGGTGCAGAGTACTTATGCTACCTTAGTTCCCTCGTGTTCCATTCTAGGTCCTGGCACCAACTCTTCTCCTTAATGAAAGAAGGAATTATGTAATGAACATTTCTGATAGGTTTGATTTTGTGTATGTGAACTCATTACATGCCTCTTACCTCTGCATGTTCATGCCAATTCAAGGTTTTCAAAATGCAGTCTATGTGATATATGCATATCGAGTCATATGGTTGCTTGCATAACCTATGTGGCTTCAGAATGTGGTGTTACTGTACATCTGAAATCTATTGCACATGTACAGCCTGTGTAAGCATGAAAATGTGATCACATATGTGGTATTTTGCAGCTGCAAATTTATAATTCCTTGCTTGTATTTTGTGACAAATACTGTTATTTTGGTATTATGATATATTGTCTATAATAATGACATCCATCACTAGGACATCTACTCAAATATTCTAATTTATCAATTAAAAAATCTTTTAGCATCAGTGTATATGTCATCATATAATTTTATAGTTTAAATGCATGTTCACCAATCAATAATCTATAGCAAATTGTTTATTTCTTTATTTATAACTAATAAAATATTAGTTTGAATATTTTGATTTATTAACATGTGCAGCATATGCTTCCACCCACAAATGCACTATATGACTCATTTATTACTTAAGAAGGTAAGATGTTATGAAGTAGCATGACTAATATTTTTCATATTAAAATGGGAACTCACTAGTATCTAAATGTAGTTGATTTACTTTCTGATGTTGAACTTAGACTTCACTCTCTTAAATTACGAGCAGCAATGTGTTTGCTACAGAAATGTTACATAATTACAATGCATTGGCAACTGGACTTTTTATCACACTTGGACATATTCTCTCTACTGTTTTTTCACTTTAAGCTTTTGCTTCTGGTAATCACTCCATGACCATTATTATCGTGTAGGAGCTAATTGTTCATGTATCTTTTACAGGTTCAAGTAGGTAACTCACCTGTGTATAAGATAGAGAGGAAATTGGGTAAAGGTGGTTTTGGTCAGGTCTATGTTGGTCGAAGAGTATCTGGCGGAAAACAAGGAACAGGTCCAGATGCATATGAGGTTAAATTTGGAAGTTCTGCTCAAGCATATCATATTTAAAGAACAGTATTGTTTACCCAACAGATATTAATACCTGCTCCCTTTAGGTGGCTCTTAAATTCGAGCATCGAAGTAGTAAGGGTTGCAACTATGGCCCACCATATGAGTGGCAAGTCTACAAGTAAGCAATTTTTTTTTATATAATTCATGTACTTCTCATACCTCAAATTTTACTAGTCATTTATCTAACCAATTGATGCTGGTTGCAAGTTCTCTTAATGGATGTTATGGAATTCCATGGGTTCACTATAAGGGTCGTCAAGGAGACTACTACATTTTGGTAATGTAAAATAGTTTTCATGTACTACTAGCCGAGAGGTTTTGTCAGTTTATTAAAGCTGATTTGGAAAAAAAATGAAAATTGTCAGGTTATGGATATGCTCGGTCCTAGTCTTTGGGACGTTTGGAATTCTGTAGGCCAAGCGTAAGAAACATGCTGTCTTTTGTCAGCTCTATGATATCTTGATTATGCCATATAATTACTCGTGTTTCAAACAGGATGTCTCCAAATATGGCTGCCTGCATTGCGGTGGAGGCTATAGCTATTCTTGAGAAACTTCACTCAAAGGGGTACTTGAATTAATGCTTTTCCAATCTTAGCTTAAGATATATCTATGATTTTTCTTTTAACTTTTGCCTGTCTACTTACTGTTGAAAGTTCACATGATTCCTTGGTTAGGTTTGTGCATGGAGATGTTAAGCCAGAGAACTTTCTACTAGGACAGCCTAGATCTGCTGATGAGAAGAAGCTTTTCCTTATTGATCTTGGTTTGGGTGTGTCTCCATTCAGAAACCTTTTTTTTTCCTTCTGAATTATTGGTGGCTTAGTTTTTAGGAACAAGCATCTCCTTTGAAGATATCAGCTTAATTACATGCTTATTGCATTGCTGTTATACATATATAGATTTGATGGCTTCTCTAATGTGTAACTGGTGCAGCATCTAGATGGAAAGAAGCATCATCTGGCCAACACGTTGAATATGATCAAAGACCAGATATCTTTAGGTGTGTACACACGTAAATGTCTGTGTCTATGATGATTATTGCACTGAGTAGCTTTCTTTTGCAGGGGAACAATTAGATACGCAAGCGTGCATGCTCATTTAGGACGTACAGGTAGCAGGAGGGATGATCTGGAGTCGTTAGCCTACACATTGATATTTATTATCAGAGGAAGGTTACCTTGGCAAGGCTATCAGGTACTTTTCTCATGTACTTGTAAAATGTGGTTTTATCCTCATGTTTCATATTCCTGTCTAGCGCACCCTGTTTCTTACATAAATTTCTATTGCAGGGAGATAACAAGAGTTTTCTTGTTTGTAAGAAGAAAATGGCTACTTCTCCAGAGATATTATGCTGTTTCTGTCCGCCTCCATTCAAACAATTTCTTGAGATTGTGACAAATATGAAATTTGACGAAGAACCAAATTACTCCAAACTTATTTCACTTTTTGATGATTTAATTGAACCATGCACTTCTCTGAGACCTATCAGAATTGATGGAGCTCTAAAGGTTGCTAGAACTACAGTTGTATTGTTTATTGATCAGTATTATATTAGCTGTTATCCTAATATGATATCCCTATAGAATCTCTGATTAATTCTTGAGTTTCATGATTCACATATGTAGGTGGGGCAGAAACGTGGTAGACTGCTTGTAAACCTTGAAGAGGATGAGCAGCCTAAGAAGAAAGTCCGTCTGGGAAGCCCAGCAACTCAGTGGATTTCAGTTTACAATGCTAGGAGACCAATGAAACAGAGGTATATAAAAAAAGGAAGTTTTTGTTTTTGTACTATTTCCTTCCTACTATGTTACTGGGGTCTTGATTTACCTTGAAATAGCATTTTATTTATTTATTTTTTTGTGAACATGGTTTCAGACTAGTTCCTTTAAATTTAAGTGAACCATTTATCCATTAAATTCACTTTCTATAATGAGTTAAAGTGATAACTAATGTTTTATTATTTCATGTGCTGATCATAATTCTGTCCTTAAGGATAAGTATAAAGACTTACGAAGCAATGAAAAGCTATGGCGAAGGCTTTTTGTTCTTGCATCATTAATTTAAGTTTCAATTGACAATATTATGAATCCGGAGTTGGTAATCCTTTAATCTACCTATTAATTGAAACACTTCAAATTGGAGAGCAATGTTTTGCTACATGTCAATTGACACATGGGAATTCTTAGTTCTAAGATGACAACTTGTGTTTATTAAGTTTTCAGTTAGTCATGTCACATTGTTTAAATTCAACCTGAGCCAGCCCCCTTTTTTATGGTCGATATTCGTTCAACGATTCAAATAGGTTGACTCTTGGCCATGGAATTTGCAAGCCAGGAGAGAGAGCAGGCACGTGAGAGATAACAGAGAGGTTGTTGCGGATGTGAAATAGAGGGATAGATGGTACCTGCAAGAAAAAAAGTGGAGAGGCTGAGAATGGGAGAAAGACAGTAAGAGAGGAAGATGGCTGGAACTGATAAATTTATAGAGAAATAATGGAATGCACAGGTTTGGGGCATGTTTCATAGATGACTCATGGTGGCATTAATACTTAAGAAACCTATGTAGAAATACTTGACCATAATTTCTGTGAAACCCGTAATATGGCTAAGAAGATTAGTTTAGGCTTTTCACTATAAAAAAACATTCAAAACAGCTATTCCCATGAACTGGTCAACAAGCAGTTGACCCACTGGTTCGGAGAGAAGACAGTCAAAACAAACAATTTTATAATAATTTTTGGGGCATGTTTCATAGATGAGTCATGGTGGCATTGATACTTGAGAAACCT